GGACCATGAAGTTCATAAGAGGACTGGAGCACCTTCCCTACAAGGATAGGCTGAGTAAGTTGGGGCTGCTCAGCCTGGACATGAGAAGGCTGCTTTGAGACCTCATAAAAATCACAAGAAAATAGTTAAGGATTACTATTACACTGATTTTTCTCTGAACCAAAGTGAATCTTGAAGACAGTTAATCCTGTAATAAGCCATTAAAAAAGTCAAATCAGGGTAGCACCTTGAAGCATTAAAAGAAAATGTTTATCTTTGCACATGGAACAGAGAAAGCACAGAGACACAAGGGCTTTTGTAAGCAGTAAATGAAATTGATTGCGTATTTTTATCACTAAAACTTTCACTAGGATTAAGTAGTTAAGGTTTCATTGCATACTTTTTCTGAAAATAACCAAGGTGCTCTAAATGAGACTGCATGATGTACTCTTCCTCAGGAGAACTCCTAAGGTAAGTGTCTGAGTCATACTGATGGGAAGAAAAAAGGTATTCTTAAAGCACAACAAGAAGAATGCTAATTAGTAATGCAGAGCCATTGTAATGACAATAAGAGAAATAATTTTAACACTGTCAGGAGAATCTTTTGCTGAAGCCTTGCAGATATGATTTTCTCCTTTGGTGAAGCCTGGCAGGACGGAGGCAGGAGGAGGTGTCTGGCTCTCAGCTCTGCGGGCCTTGAATCCTGCAGTGTGAACACCCTGCATGCTGATCTGCCTTACTGCACAGTAGAGCTTATCAAATACACTCAGAGCAAAGCCACTTGCTCCCCACTCTAAGCAGAGGACATAAACTCTTGGCTCCTTTTCACAGGCAGGGATGCAGTCTCTGCTACTGCACAACTTCTCAAGTGTTTTCCACAATCTCCTGCCTAATAAAATATGGGGGTATGGTTGAGGTGAGTCTGAATTATCATTGAATAATTTGTAAGAAAAAAAAAATAAAAATAGCCATGCAGTGTTAAACCTTCATGGATTGCATCTGATACACTGCTACACAGGCATTACACTGCATCACTAACTACAGCAACAAAGCATTTATCAATTACTTTGGATTTCCACAAAAAAAGCTCAGATACAGTAATTACTATGATTAAAACAACTATCTGGATTTTTATTCTTCTGTTGTGCTGAATTACTTCTACAAGAATTGTCATATTTGGCTCACAATCTTGCTAGATTTTCAGATTTAATATCATCTATGTTTTTATCTCAAGACAGAAGAAACTTAACTCTAAGGGCTAATTGTGAAAGAAATTCTCCAAAAAACAAGCGGGTTATGGCCACTTTGCTATCCTGAACCTGTAATTAAGGCAGCTGTCAGAATGAGATGCACTTGCTTCCATGGAAATGATCTTTTTGCAGCTGTTGATTCTGAAACTGAACGAGGATATGTAGAGAAAGTGTGGTGTCCACTGAGGTGGGCTCATTCCTCAGCTGATATTTCTGCTGGAGAAAAAGAGCAGTTGAAGGGAAATAAATGACCAATTATAGGGAAAGCTAAGGTTAAGGAAAGTCAAAGAATCTCAAGATAGGAACAGGGACTTAAATACAGGTTAGCAAGAGAAAGAGGAGTAACAACAGTATTGCTGAAATTGGATGCCATTCCCTAAGATACAGGGGCTTTAAATTTTTGTAAGTGGGAATAATTTTATCCATCTCATCTGTTTTTGTGACAGAATGAACAGTGGGACGCCTGATTCTTATTGCTGTTAATTGGTATAGCTCCATGGAGAGAAGAATAATTTTGACTATATCTGTTGGGCCTTGAGAGAGAAAATCCCCTTTTCCCCACTCCACAGAATCAGTCAACTCCTCCCTGAGGCAATCTCCTTCCTCAGCAGTACAGTTCCTCTGCTCATGCATTTTATCTTGCATTTGCTAACTTTGCTTGAGACTGGTGCAAAGGAGATTATGATGGGTAACTGACAGGCAAAACATCAGAAGCAAGCTTTGCAAAATACACATTTTTAAAGTCAGTGTGGCGGGTTTGCTTTTAAATACCTCTTAAATATTTTATATAAATACCTGGAAGGTGCATTTTTTCATTACAGTTTTATAATTATAATAAGATATTAAAGACTGTCTTCCTTTCTCAGGCAAAATTCTGAGTTGCAGATGATCTGCTAGAATGAGATATGCAACATTTGGATTTTATCACACAGTAATATAGGCAACAAAATACAAAAAGCTTGTAATGAAACGTTACACAAAAAGGACACAGACTTTAAGGTGACAAACCAGGAAATATACAATAAGCCATTCATGCTGCTGCAGCTGTTTCACCTCCTACCAATTTTCACAGTCTATAAAATCTTGGAAAGCACCAGATGTTTAGGGGAAGTTGTCCTACTCTCCCTAGCTTTGAAAGAAGAGGCAAGATTTATTAGTGCTATATATATGTGATTTCAGTCCTGACTTCTATATTTATAAACTAGGTGAAACATGCAACACATCCTGTTGTCAAACAGCTCATTTACTTTCCTCTGCTCCTCCTCACGTGCAGATCTTGCCTGTTGCTGGACCATTGCTGTAACTACAGAACAATATCTGGACATGCAGTCCAAAACACAGGATTTACTTAGTTACTGGCAAACATATCTGAGAGTTTTCTCCTAGTACCAACTTCTATCAAAACAACCTTGCAATGCACAGATTATGAGCTAAGCAAAACTATCTTGTGTATGAATATGCACCAACATTTGGGATTCCTGCCTAGGCAGAGAATGTTAATGCACAAAATTATCTTTTTTTTCACTAGTGCATGGTTCCTAGTATTGGAACAGGGATAAAAACTGCTCATGCGTTATTTCCAATCTTTCATAGCTCAGCAGTGCTGTAAAATGCTGCTGTTCGTTTTAATTCAGTGAGTAGAAGTTTTGTTGTGTTTACCACTAAGGGAATTGCATGTGTTATTAGAAAGCCTCTGACAGCTGTCAGAGACAGAGACAACTTGCCTCATTTCAGTCTTTCATAAAGGAAGGACCCTCATCTTCAGCAAAGCTGTCAGAGGCCTGAAAAATGGGATAAACAGAATACCTTTTCCAAACACATGAAAATCTTTGTATCTCCTCTATTTTATCCCCCATAAAGTTACAGAGGGAAAGTTGTTTCATTAGAAGAAAGTGGAAATATAATTTGATGTATTTGTACTGTATACTGCCTTGTCATCACTGACCTGCAGGGATAATTGCATAGTAGCCTGCCTGACAAGGTATTTAATAAATTAGCGCTATGTTTTAACATAACATACAAGCTTTCATGCAGTTTTTATTTTCTGAGAGCAAGAACAATCAAAACCAAAGAGACATTGATGCAGACAAGGGCTTTGCAGCAAAGATTCTGAAAGTCTGAATCGGTAAGCATTTCCACACTTTCCAACACGTCTCACCATGCCCAGGACTCTCACTGAATTTAAAGCACCAGAAAAGGAAATCTTCTCTTAACAGCTCAAACCTTAACTTCCAGCTTTTGATTTAAACTGGTACTTGTCTTAATAAACTCTCTTGTTTCTTTTAGTTCAAATGTTTTGGGTTTCTTTTCTTAAAAGCCTACATTATTAATTTTTTAAAATTAGAATTAGCAACATTTCAGCACTTGCTTATCATTCAGTGACAAGGGAAGTAGCTTGCAATGTCCTTAACAGGTTAGAATTGTTTTCCCATCAGCTCCTACTTAGCTTTCTTATTTAGATTCTCCTTTTTACTCCAGTAATCCCACGGGTATCCCTCCATACAGCACTGTTTCTGATGTCAACTCCTTTAACCAGCACGAGAGACTGGGAAGGCAAATGTATCAGCATCATTTGTTTAATATTGTTGTCTGCCTGCTATTTTTATAGCATGCTCAATGCTCGTTTTCACTTTTCATACTCTGATTCATTTTTCATCCTGTTTTCTTCTCCCTATCCATCTTGCACTGCTGAGTAAAGCAAAAATCCATGAATGAGTCAGAGTCAAATTTTCAAAGTCACATTGGTCAGTGGGGTTTGAAATTAAGCAGAATGAGATTGCTTATGTTTTATCTTTCCAAAAATAGAAAATAAATTTCCTTTCTTTGACTGCAATAAAGTGTTATCACATTTTTCCAGCTGCATTTATTTTTCCAAAATCCAGTCTAGACTATGACATAGGCTAAATAGGTGCTCCATTCCTTCCATATTATCATCAGTCTTGTCTAATTGTCATCCTATTATATCACCAAAAGCAACTTAAAAGTAATATTTCTTGTTATATGTTATTCTTCTGGGAGGTTTTTTTTTTGGTTGTGGGATTTGGGCTTTTTTTTTTGTTGGTTGGTTTTTTGTTTTGCTTTGCTTTGCTACAGGACAGATGAATGGCTCTTTAAGGGACAATTCTTTCTTTCTTATTCTTCGTTTATTTGAGTGAAAAATTATGTGAGTAAATTGTGGGAGCAGTATTTCTTAAATATATACTCTACGCCCCATTCTAACGTGAGGTTGCATGTTTGGTACCTTCTATTCAGTACACTGGAAGTGAGACGTTAGCATATTTTAAGCAACAATGAGGAATTAATAATTTCTCATATATGTAACTTTTAAAGCTTTTTGACCATGTACTACCAGAATTAAGAACAGCAGCTGTTGTGATTTATGTTGACTGGATGTTATACAATGTTATTATCTTCTCAGCTTGCAAGGGCCTCGTTTTAAGTTGTAATACATACTATTTCTGCCATGTTAAGCTTGTTATCAAATCCTCAACCAAATCTTTCTCAACATTTCAAATAGCATGTAATAATTCAGCTCAGGAGCCGTAACACCACATCATTCCTTTGGTAATATGAAATGTGAAACGTGACTGGCTTAGGGCATGGTGAGCAGTCATTCCTTACTGCAAGCCATGAAGTTCAATTAGAAAGCGAGCTGCATCTGCAGTTGCTTCATTCTGAATATTGACCAACAGCGTCTTCTAACCTCACAGAACCCTGCAGAAATTTGATATTACCAGAGTTTCCTTGCACTAATATTGAAACTCTTCTTACCTATGAACAGATTCCACTCAGTATCCAAATCAGCCTGATTTGCTAGGCAGCCCTTCATTACATTGAGGCAATAGTTGTTGCAAGGTTTCACAGTGGGAAGTCCTCTGCAGTAAGGGCAGTACAACATCTTCATTAACGCCCGGATGCACCCTGGGGTGGGACTGACCTGCAGAGTTTAAGGCAGGGAAAGAAAAAGAAAAAGGAGGAAATCAATCTCCTGTTCTGTGAATCTCGGGGTGGCTGAGATTATGCCTCTCAAGCAGTAAATGCAGAAGGGGCAATTTGTGAAAAGAGCTCAACCCTTAATAACGCCCTCCTATAAAGCTAATCAATTCCTGCCAATTATCTTCATTTAGCACAGCAGCGACTTTCAGGAATGCAAAAATCAACACTCCCCTACTGACAGCAGTGCTTGCCTCCCCAGCCCTCCCACACAAAATCTCCTGGAAAAGCAAAGGAAAAACATCCAGGGAATCAGCTGGGTAGTTAACTGACTGATCCTAGCATGGAGGATCCTGAGGAGGCTTCTCCCTCTTCCTATGTAAACTAGAACTGTCAGTCACACCAGCACTGGATTAAAATCTCCTCTTTATTAAAGCACAGTAAATCCAGGATAATCTTGACGGTTTCTATAAATTTATTCTGAACTACACGATGACAAAGGGATATCATTCCATTTTCAGACAAAAATAACCTTCTTTCTTCTCAGACAAATTCATAAAGAGATTAGACAGGGTTTGTTTGGGGTTTTTCTTTTTTTTTTTTTGTATGCTTTTGACATCTCAAGTGACAAAAAGCATTATAGACAATCTAACGCATTTCAATTTTCACATCAGCATGGCACATATCAGCACGTGTGAACTTCTCTTCTGTATTTAATTTTCTAATCTCAGACTTTAAAAGTCATATGTACTAGTAAAATATACATTTTCAGGCCAGAGTTCCTAACATGGATTAAAATTGCACACTAGGTACTACTCACACTAGCATTTTGTCACGGTGCGGTGGAGCACAAGTATCTCATGCTGGATTGACAATCTAGAGCAATGACAAAGAGCTGCAGGTTCCCCAGTGATTTCAAAGTTCCTGGACAGGAGATTGCAAAGCAATGGCACTCCTTTCACTCAACCTGTTGGTTTATGAATAAATGCATCTCTACTGATACAAATTTGAAGGGATTAAACTATTTTTCCATAATAATGGTAACTTGTGCTGAAAGCATGAATCTAACTTTGCACTACAGTGCTACAGGCTGAGCTAATTGATGTCACTCGTATTATCAGGATTGTACTAAAATTGTGTTTCTTTTCTTTTTTTCTGGAATTTGTTTCTCCCTTTTTGATGTTAAATCATTGATTTTTAGAGAACTATACAGAACATAGTCTTTACACAGGACATTTTTAAATTAAAATGGTTCTGAGATATAGCACATGCTTCTGAATATGCTCGGAAGGGATTTTTGCTTTGGTTTCCTAGGGACTAACTTCTGCACTTTACTAGCAGAACACTGATGGTATGTGTGAAGGTATATTTATCCATCCTTTTCCAATAGCTTTTGAACCATCAGCCAGTTTCAATCAAATTTAACTGAGCACTTCAGGTCTCAGAACATTAAGATCCTACATGTTTTTTCTTTTAAACAGACAGTTGAGAGAAAAAGAGGAGAGAGGCTCTATTATTGCCTTTATTGAGGAAAAGGGTGAAACATGAGGTCAACTCCTCATAGATATCAAAGAATCCACATTGAAAATGATGTTATGAATGACCCATTGGTTAGAAAAAGCACAAGGGGAAACTTCCTCATTGAACACCTTATTGGTGTTCAGAACAGCAGAAAATCCAAATTCAAAAAAAGGTGGACTTTATTATTTTCACTGCTCAGAACTACTTTTTAGAGTCACTTATCCAACTGCTGTATACCTCCAAACCTAGAACAGGTCAATTTTTACAAAGAGACTAGCACCATAGAAGGAAGAAAGCAGAATACTTATATTTACGGTCAAAAACAGAATCTTCAAATTTGCATTGAAATTGCTGCTTAAAGCCAGAGATATTTTCATTTGTGAGTATTGAGAGTTTTATCAGTTAGGTTCCTTTCATGCCTAAAGTTATGCTTCTTCCCTGTTCCGGTAGTCTTGTCAATGCCAAGTTATCAGCACCTAGTTGACCCCTAAATTCAGCTGGAATCCACATATTTTCCCATCCATACCTTCTCAAATCCACTTTGGTACTTGTGCTGACATATATCTATAAGATCTTCATCTTATACAAAAACTTCCTGTCAATCTAATTCTTGAAAAACACGTCTAAAAGAGAGAAGACAGTCCCTGTCTTTATATTATATATTACCTTTCTTATTTTGTCTTTATAGAGAGCAGATACTATCAATATTTATGTGAGCCTTATTTTATAGTGATTGTGCTTTACTCTGCCAGAGATCCAGATCATGTCCCAGATCTGCTAGGACAGGACCCTAAAGGCCAGTTAGAGTATCTATTTACACAGGCTGTGTGAATCTTAAATTCTTGTCACATTACACAAGTCCTTTAACAGAGTACTCCTGGTCACACTTCCCTGTGAAGAAGTCAGGATAACTTCTAACCCCTCAAAAAGAATGAGCAGGACCCAGGTGTATCATATCTTGCCTGAGTGTCTTAATATATCAGACAAAATGGTGGCATCATTAACAGCATTTTACAAGAAAGCAAGGTGCTCTGCTTATGTTAGGAGTGAAGTAATACCTTTTTTAAGAGAAGCAGCCAAGAGGTGGGTCAAAGCAAAGAGCAGATGGAGAAGGTTTCTACAGAAGCCTCTGTCATGTTATTTATATCTGCATCTGACTTATCTACGTCATCCTCTGACAAAGACTAGCACAAGCAGATCCTTGCTGATCAAGCTGGATGTTGCAGAACTTGGTTTCAAAGTGTGCTATACTGGTGACATAAAATACAAGCACAGATGAATTGCTGTGCCTGCTGGCTTGCATTCACGTCCCTTACTGCTCACACCTCCTGCTCCAAGCTGGCCACATCCCATACTACCACATCGTATTGGCACTACACCTCCCCTGGGTTCCACTTAGTGCCTGAGTGACTAAAATACACAATTATTATTTTGGGTAGTTATTTTTCAGCTCAAAGTGTTCTGAATAATAGGAGTCAGTAGTGCAGGCAGTGGGAGTAAAAGGAAGCTAAATATAATCTTGTGTGTTTTGAAGTGAGACCGGAGGTTTCATAGGGCTTAGACTATGCTCTGCTCAGTGTTGAAAGAAGGGAGGGGGCCACAACAGGACAGGTCCATGCAGGTTTCTGGAGACAGTGTCTGTCCTGCCTAAAGTGCATTGCAGGGGGAGAAAGGTGGAGAGGTCCAAAACACATCTGTGAAGAGGGCTAACAATTAAGCTGTGACTCAAGCAAGGGATGAGTGCCCTTCTCAATCCTACTCCATATTCACTTGTCACTTAGCAGTACTGGTGTGCCTTTAGGTATCCAAACTGTGGGTCAGAGAAATATTACCAATTGCACAGCTACATTAGAAGTCCGAAGGCTAAAAGTTAAATGCTGTATTACAGCAGTTAAGTGCTTTTCTGAACCTAGTCTTCAGTGAGCAGCCAGGTTTCAGCTCTGAGATTCAGCTGTTTTTTCTGTACCTTTGTTTCCAAAGAATACAGTTAGATCTTTTTCTTCCCTCAACAACAGCATATCTCTCATGCAAAAAATAGTCTAATCTTGGTCTAAGTTTCTGATATCTTGGTAAGAACCAAAATATAAAAAGAATCCAACTTAGAGTGTGAGTATTTCAGAAAGCTATGAACTCCTGAAGTCTGGAGATATCACAGAAAGTTGTTTTTGAACCACCTTCTTGCTGCTGGAAAATGCTATGAAATGCATTTTGAAAGCCCATTTCTCATTTCCATCTTAAAAGAAAATAATATTCAGAGCCTCTCACACTTAAGTACTTTTCTGCAGACCAGCCAAAAAGCAGATATTAATTTCATTCAAAGGTATTCAAAACCTCAAAACCTGCGTTTCCTGAGGAGAGGTGTTTTTCAGCTCAGGAGTTTCAACCTTTTTTCTGTAAATAACATTTTTGCATGGGTACAACTTTGGTTTTTTGTCTTTTTTTTTTTCTTTTCAAACACGTTGCAATTGGCTCTACAATAATCGCAGCACAGAAATTTGCATAGACTTCAAAGTTTAGAAATAACTGGTTCATACCTAAATCATATAAATCAGTTGGATCACACTGAATGACATAACTGGGGAAACTGCTATAGAGGAGTCATTCACTACTGCATGCTGTCTCCCTGACTGACTAGGACAGCTTCATTTTAGCATAAGCGTACGTGGAATACAGCACATCAGAAAAGTGCCTTTCTGAGCTTTGATTGAGCCTAGTAGCTTCAGGACATGTTACATTACTGCATTTTGTAACATTTTCTGACAGCTTCTGCTTTACCTAAATGCATGTTTTTGCATACATGCAAAACCCCCCAAAAGCAATATTCTTAAGGGCTTCATTACTGAACACTTGTTTTCCTCCTTCAGAAAGTCTAGGAGGAATATTATTTCATCTAGAAGAGAGATTTTGCAATGGTGAACTTGCAAATATAAATAATTGAGGAGAGAACTTATTTGGGTAAAAGCCAGGAAATTTTACTCCCTTGTAACACTGCATTTGCAGACTGCTTTGTAATGTATTTGACCTGTTTTTATAATCAAAATCCTTGGCTTTGTCAAGTATACAAATATAAATCTTTTTTTCGGACACAAAAAATCAGAGAAACTTATTAAACAACTGGTCACCTTTAGAAGGATCAAATATATTGAGATATGGTTTCTCTTTTATTTGTAGGAGATTTCTTACCAGAGTAGCTGGTATATGTTGTCTGGTAATAAGGTAGGGGTGTTCTTCCAAAGTTATATTGAATGTACCTAAACTCACAGAGTAAGTCCGTACACCATACTTAGGTCCAAACCCTGTCATTTCTTGGCATAAAATAAAATTTTTCAAATATGAGAAAAATGAATCACTGCTGACATCACATCAGGGAACACACATACTTCCTATGTTTCCTGTGCACCCAAAGGAACTCCTCCCACTTGAAATCATGGAGTCACTCTTTAGCATGAAGACCTTGTAGGGGAAACTGCTGGGAGGAACCAG